TTTTTTTTTTTTWWARAGAGAGAGAGAGGAGAGAGAGAGAGAGAATTTTTAATATTTATTTTTTAGTTCTCGGCGGACACAACATCTTTGTTGGTATGTGGTGCTGAGGATCGAACCCGGGCTGCACGCATGCCAGGCGAGCGCGCTACCGCTTGAGCCACATCCCCAGCCCTGTAATTCTTAAAGTAGTGTGGAGATGTGTTTTGAGGAAAATGAGGCTGAAACTCCTTGGTCCAAAGGGAAGCTCTTAAAATCCAAGAAAGCAGCTTATCACAGTGGCACAGGCTTGCATTGAGAGGCCAAGGAAAGGAGGATTACAAGTGGCCAAACACTGCAATTAAGTGAGACTATCTCAAAATAACAAAAAGGCTTTGGGATGTAGCTCATTAGTAAAATGCCCTGGGGTCAGTCTCCAGTACAGGGTGGGATTACCTGTTACCTGGCCTGGCATGTCAAAGGGATTAGATATCAGAGGGTTAACTGTGAAGTTTTGGTAGTGGATCTAATTGGAAAAGAAAAAGTAAAATTTGATATGACTGGGATTCTAACTTCCAATAAGGGGGTAGAGAAAGAAAACAAGGTGARCAAGTTAGAATTACAATCAGCCCATGCCTGTAATCCCAGGAACTGGGTAGTTGAGGCAGGAGGATGGCAAGTTCAAGGCCAGCCTCCTCAATTTAGTGAGAACTKAGTTCAAAAAGCACAGGGCATGTGGCTCAGTATTAAGCACCTCTATGTTAAATCCCCTATTTGCCAACCCCCTCCCTCCCTCTAAAAAATAGGAAGGTGTGGAAAAGTCTAAAATCTTTTTTTTGTTGTTAATAAATTTGGGATACTGGGGATCCAGCCCAAGGGTGCTTTACTATTGAACTATATCCCCAGTCCTTTTATTTTGAGATAGTATTGTGCTAAGTTGCTGAGGCTGGTCTTGAACTTGGCATCCTYCTGCCTTAGCTTCTGAAGTCACTGGAATTACAAGTAATGTGCCACTTTGCCTGGCTGTCTAAAATAATTGATTTTGGG